TATCTTTGTGTCTCCATGATACGATCTTGAATGGTCTTCTCTGTATCACTATAGGGCTGGAGCTGGGAATTACAGGAATGGGGACGACAAATTGGTGCATGTTTGTTTGGGTTTTTTTAACTAGATATTTATCTTTATGTAGGTGATCACCGTCTGAATTGCACAGGAAATTCCACAGGACTGCTACCAGGACTGTAGCTAAAACTTTTTACTCTATAATCTATTTTTTTTTATTCAAAAAGTTGGATGCCAGTTTGGAACAGATATTCTGTCTCTCCACCTTTGACTAGAAGTCTTTCAAAAGCACCTTCCCACACAGACAGAAGATAACCCCTACTGAACCACTGCTTGAAGAAACATTAACAGATATTTTAAACCAAAGGAAACTGTTAGTATCGCCCACCAACCCAGACTTCTTTCAATTATTTTTCACCAATACGTTTCTCAATAACTCCCAAAACAGTTCCAGCCAGCCTTTTATTTCAAGATTTTCAAGATCCAAAGTTGAAACAAATCTCTAATGCTCTGCTGTATCTGCTCCTACCTTTCTCAACTTCTGAGTTCTAGCTGGGTTCAAGAGCTTTCATCAGTTTCCCAAAGAAAGTTAAGCTCCTTGCACTGCATCTCAGGAAAATGCTGTTCCAGAATGTCACTCTGATTTGCTGTATTTCGATAAAGACAGTACTGCATTATGTGAGGTCTTAATGGCAGCTCCCTTTTAACGAGTCCAGCTGGCTATTTGCTTAAGTTGCATTTATAGCAGCTACTTGTAAATCCCAAGCAATCGTAAAAAACTGCAGTACGCTAGAAAACCAAGGTTTGCAGATCACACTCTGTTCTGTAGGCAGACAGTTGTGGTCCATTTTTTTTTGTCACAGTTTACTCAAAAATTAACTGAACAGCAGTATGAAAGACTTCTACTTTGCAGTCCTGTCCACATCCTTTGAATATCTCGCATTCCCTCTTCCAGCAGTGCCCCGCTGGTTCTTATTTGTAGCAAAGATACAGGTATTTTCTGTTACCTCTCACTCTCCTGTGCTTTTCCCCCACCCATAGATACAGAGCATTCATGATGAAGTAGATCCACAATTTCATGCCAACCTTGTTGGCTTTATTTAAAAAGAATTGATAAAACTGCTTTCAGTGATAAAATATACATCTTAGCACATGCCCCAGGGGTCGTGGTACTTTGCCTCTCCACATGTGGCAATCCAAAATCAGCCTGTGCTTCGTGCTACCTCTGTCCCTTCAGGATAGCCTCTCCTCCACGTGGGCCTTACAACAAGCAAATGGTAACAGGCCATTCTGGGCTGCAGGATCAGAAGCTAGCAGCTGCACGGACCCTTTGTCAGAGCTTCTGCTGTCAGCTCCCTTCTCTTCTTGAAAAGATTCAATAGAATCTTAGCCTGTAAGTTATCCAAATATTTGTCATAATGACAGAGTCACCCCAGTCACATGCCTCTATTTTTTCTCCAAGTGTAAAAAAACCTCCCCATGCTTCTTCCATTTTTTGCTTTTCCCCAGCTACTTGTGGACACCACGTATTCCCACTTCTGCTGAGTCATAAAAAGAGACTGTGCCCCATTTTTCTGCAGAAGACCTTAAAATCACAATAAGAAACTTAAATCTAAATTATTGTTGACCTTAGAGCCAAAGTTTTTATCCTCCTCTTTGTTCCCGAGATGGCTTCCCAAACCAAAAAAACCAACAAAAAATTAAATGCGTAGGAGTCACTCGCAGGTGCAACGTCCTGAAATAGCTGGGCCTGGAGACCACAAGCTAACAGACTGCTACGGCCCCCCTCTGGGACCAAAAGCGCTGATTCTGGCCCACCCTCACAGGGAGGGAAAAGTCACCTCTGACAGCTGTGCTTTCTGGAATATGAGCAGTGGTAAGGAAATAACAGCCTTTGAAACCCAGACGCACAAAACATTCTATGACTTAGTGTCTGAGTCTACAGAATAACGCTTGTGAACTTGGAGGATTTCTACGGGAAATCTTACAGGTGGCTTTCTTATGTTTGATTCACTTGATTTTGGATCATCATGAAATAGATTGGCTAAGCCCTCTGTGTGACATTTGCAAGGTGCCTTCAATAAACCGCCGTTGTCAGGGTGTTCCCAATCTTACAAGTTACGGTACTGAGTGTCCTAAACAAGTGTCAGGCTGTGTCTGTGTCTACAGCACAACGCTTATCAACTTGGAGGATTTCTAAAGACACGTGAAAAGTGGAGTTGAAACCTCAGTGTAGCAGGAATCTTATTTTTGTGGGCAAAGCACCATTGGAGACCTCTCCAGTAATAACCAGTGGCCACATCACAATGTAGAATTCTACATTTTCTTTCTGCTGCTAGGTTCAAATGGCAATTGCACGATGACATTCAAGATCCTTACTGGTCAATGCCTAAAAATGTATTTTTAGCCTTACTCATTTAACCCTATTAACCCTACTCGATAACAATTTCACCTGTTGAAAATGAACAGGGCGACTACGTAGCCCTGCACTTGTACTCTACAAAAAATCATCCCTAAAATCTTCTCTGCATTTTGAGTATGATTTTATTTACAATATTAAAATGAGTGCGCTGGCTGGTAACACTGTTCTGCCAAATGCCCAATCGTTTGTGGTATCGCTGCATTTAATTTTAGAATATTTTATGGTACGTACTACACAGTTACAAAAATCACAGGGCTTTAGAAAAGCTAGTCTCTCAATTAAAGTTATCTTTTTGGAATCAAAGTTATAAAAGTTGGCTGATAAATACAAGTGCTATCAGGATGTTACAGAAATTAGCCATTTGCATTTCAATTATCCAATCAATCCACTACCACCAATATCAGGAGATACAGGTATTTTAAATTTTTAGTATATCCTGGTAGGCAGGCAAAACTAGGCACCCTATATAAAGAATTTCCTAAAAAAAAAAAAGATAGTTCTATTTCTATATTATTATACTATCTGATCCTTTTAATCTCTCATTGGCTTTTCTGCTGATATATTTCGGAATTTGTGTTTAGAACAGATGAAAGCTAGGATAGACTACTGTGATAGTATAGACAGAAGAGTTTAATGGCACACAGGCGTTCTTTTTACAGCCTTTAAAGCAGTCTTTGCACAGGCAGGTCTCTGATGGACAATCCCAACAAAATGTTCTGATTACCATGCATTTAACATGGTTACTAGACCAAATGGAAGGCATGGTCTTTACTGAAATCACAGGAGCACAGTAGCTCCAAAAGGAAGATGGCACCTGACATTTGTCATGAACATGCCAGGTTAGCTAATGTAAAACTAGGACTCACTCACTGGTGCTGCATATTGCTTATAATCCACATCTGTAAAAACAAAGATGAAGCAAGAATTTATTTTCTTGCAGTAGGGAATCAGAAATCAATTAATCTTTCATCTTGCTGTGCAGACCAGTTGAGCATTACTAAAGGTGGTGAAAAAAACAAAGTTCAGTGTAATCTCATAGGTACACTATACAGGTCAGAGTCTAAACACTTCTTGAAAATACACAAACCATGAAGGTCATTTACTACTTTGAATTCTCTATGCTGATAAATCCATCATTCCACAGCTTTTATGCAATCTCATAATTTCTATCCACTAAAATAAAAATATTTCCTTTTAGTTTTTAAAATAACAAACAACAACACAAAACCATAAAATAATTCATTTATTATTAAAAAAAAACCACAAACAAACAGCTTGCCAGAAGCTACAAAGCACTTCTATGAACTGTAGCTTCCACCCTGCCTCCTCGTGCACCGAAATGTGATGATTCACGGGGGACAAACACTGACCTTGCCTCTGTTGCTTTGTCAGGGCCTAGGATGACCTTAATGCAAGACCTTCAACTCTGGAATTTGCACTTTTTCGTTTTCAGATGGGCAAGCCTCCTCGTGTCTGTTGACCTTCTGTGCACGTTGCAAAATCTGTCAGTTCATTTGAGTTTTTCCCCAGAGTCAGACGTAGTTATGGAATAAAAATGTAATCTTGCAAAACATTAAGAGTTGCTTAAAAAGATGTCCTGCCTTTTCCCAATCTTTTTCTCTCCACATATTCTTTAGAACATGCTTTTTCCTCAAACTAACAGATAACTGACGAATGCTTATTCTGTTCCCAGCCCATCCAGGCCTTTACAGCCAGCAGCTCTTAAAGGTGGATTTCTTATGTTTCATTCACTTGATTCTGGATCGTCACGAAATAGATAGGTTAAACCCTCTGTGTGATATTTGCAAGGTGCCTTCAATTAACCGCCATTTTCAGGGTGTTCCCAGTCTTACAAGTTGTGGTACTGAGTGTCCTAAGCAAGTGTCAGAGGCAAAGAACACTGTGATCATTAGAGGCTTCTGCTACAGGGAAGGAAAAAAAAAAATCAGGTTAATGGTAATAACAGCTACAAGTCTATTATTCAACCTTTAAAGACAAAATCTAGAACAGATACCAAGTATTAAGAGACATGGGACTGCCTCTCTGCATACGCAGCCCTTAGTAAAGACAGAAATCAACAAGGCCTGTACATCTCCTTTGCTATCATCACTTGTCACTGCACTTCAGTCCACTCCCCCTGCTTCAATATACTCTGTCACTACAAAAAGGTGTCTCAGATACACACCGCCATGAGCAGCTAAGCTCCTGAGCAGAAACAACAAGGAAATAAAAGCCACTGGAAAGTGCCCACAAGCTGCCTTAGTTGCCCAAACTTAAGAGTAGTAGCTTGCTTCCACCTCCTGTGCTTACAGCTTCTCCAAATTGTATATGGAAGAGGTAAAAATAACAGGTAAAGTGGTTACAGAAAAAGAGTAATTGAAGTTTCTGCTACCTTTCTGATTATGTCAATTTGTGCTCTTTACTTCAACTGCAGTGTTTGGCCTCAGGCGAGTAGCGCAAGAGCTAACCTGCTCTGCAAGAAGACACTCTGCAAGAGAATAATAAGAACGGTTACACAAAGAATACCAATTTCAAGTCAGTGTATGAACCTCAGTTCCACCACATGTGGCAGAACAACTGGTATTACTCTGAGTCTAGCTGCTCAGGGAGAAAGTACTACTTCTCCAGGAATGTTCCCCATCCTAGGATGGTCTATCACATGCCAGGTAAGAGTTGCTGAGAAACCACACAGCCCGGACAACTACCCTGGCAAGCGTGAACTGAAATTTGAGTGTAATGCAATTTTGTTTCAAAAGTACCCACCGCTCCCATTTCTTGCATCTAAGAGAAGCATTTCATCAGCATGCACAACTGGGTAAGAAATCCCACTCTTGGAACAGTGATTAGTCACAACCAAAATACAGAGACCTCTCGGGAACAATACGGATCTGCAGTGCCCCCACCGTGGCCACAGGCATGGCAGCGAAGCATGTTTTCTGTAGTACAGACCATACCCATTTGTTTGCTTGCACAGGGTTGAACAACACTCAGGTCTGTGTTGTGAGAAACAGAGTTTTACACAAATACCCGTCTGCTGGCAAAACAGCCATCCCCAAGCAAGACGCTGATGAAGAGCTTGCTGTAACCAGGAACGCCACAGGCAATGCAACTGCCAGCTGCTACAGTCCAAGCCTTGAGACCCTCGAGCAAGGGGAGCCAGGCACTTCCTGGCCCATGACAGGTGAGTAGGGGGACCACACTGCTGTGCTACACAGCACCAGAAGAGGAACCTGAGCTGTAAAAGGTGCAGCTGGGGCTCAGCCAGGGCACTGTGTCATCACAGCTCAGGTCCAGGGACAGGGAACATAGGGCAATGAACGTGCATTTAAAAGGCGAGTATTTCTTTCCTTCTACGTGTGTTAGCCACCACATCTTAAAAGATTTCTCCCCATTAATTACACTTGCATCTTTATAGCTTTTAGAGATTGTACGCTCACTAGACATCTAATAACATTTGTCAGCACTTATTGCATCTGTGAGCAACATTCTGCAGTAGTAGTTACACAGCACCTATGAAATATGCTTTCCAGGATTTTCATCATCTTTGCTATGCATCCCAGCAAATAACTGCATTAATATACTATATGAGGTAGTGAAAGCAAACAAAAAAGGAAGAAAATACACCCTCTTACAGATATCTAAAATATGGCTTGTGCATTTTTGTAATTAGAAATGGCTCCCCTGGTTATAGCACAAGGCGAATCTTAGGTCCTTTGTGTTTCAACTTGAGAAAACACTCTGCCTGTTGATTTCCAGAAGGACGTACAGATGTGCCTGAAGGGATTCAAAATGAGACTACTTCATCTGAAAAGGTAAGGGAAAAAAAGACAGACTTCTTTATTTCAGCACTCTCCTTTTCACTTCTGAACGCTGTAACCTGAATTGACAGTCTCAGACTGCTAAGGAGGACAGCACAGAACAAAAAGAGGGATGCGAGGATCCCATGTGTAGAACACAAGAGCTCGGAAGGAAGATGGTATCAAGTAGGGTGATAACTAAGCTATAACTGTATCACTTTCAGCTCTGTAATGTCACTCTTGTTTTGCTAGCAAGAAAAAGGGTCAAACCAATGAAAATGGAAATAAAATTCACCTTGTTTAAAACTGCTGGGGCAAAAATGGTCACACTAACAAGCAAGCACAAGGTCACAAACAAGCACGGAAAAAGCCTTCTCCCTCACAACACAAAGATTCTTTAGACTATTTGCTGCCAACAGTTTTACTTTTGCCGACGCTGCTTTGTAGAAGCAGCACGTAGGGGTTTAGATCCAACTTTGCAGCTGTGCTCACAAACTCCAGTAAGTGATTCTTTAGTCTGAAGCTGCAGGCTATCTAATTAATTATCTCCTCTATTGTGACTGCACAACAGCTGAGTACTAAGTTATTCTTCCATTGCAAACACGTTATCACCTGCACACTATTCAGAAAAAGGTAATGCAAGTGTTGCTGTCTTGGTTCTGGACAGCAGAGGGCATGATGAAGACGTTTTGCAGCAAAGATGCTAAAAATAGGATTAACTTTTCGTCTGCCTAAATGATGCCCTGGGGTTCTTGAGCTGGGTAAAGACCATGCTGGTAGCTGGAGAGAGCGATAACTTTTCCCCTCAGCCTCCCTTTCTCCAGACTAAACAGACCCAGCTCCCTCAGCCGCTCCTCGTAAGACTTGTGCTCCAGACCCCTCACCAGCCTCGTTGCCCTTCTCTGGACAAGCTCCAGCACCTCAATGTCCTTCTTGTAGTGAGGGGCCCAAAACTGAAAACAGTACTCGAGGTGCAGCCTCACCAGTGCCGAGTACGGGGGCACAATCCCCTCCCTATTCCTGCGGGCCCCAGTGTTCC